AGTGTTTCACCTTTTGCTATGCTACTTTGATTTCTAAACTGAAAGTGAGGTGGCCCTTGACCAATTGCGAAAAAAGGGTACTTTATTCGTTGAATGTGGCCCCTACTCAGCTTCACCCAAATAGTTGGGCCTTTGTGCGCGGATTTGAGGTATTGTGCAAAGGTCTAGGCATAATTCCGACCTCTGAGAAATTCTTTTACTTCTTTGAGAGTCGTGCAAGCAAACGTAGTAGTTGGGTCTCGGTCCATGGGGTTACTGGTCGGGGAATCCTAACTTTATTTCAATCGTCCTATAAGAACTTTAAAAAGTCTTATTTCCGAGTGCGTTGTACCCCGGGTAATAAGAGCATACTTGAAGGATATCCCTTATATTGGAGTCAACAAACAGTGACCTACGGTGGACTCCCAGCCGAGAAATTTTCCGTGGTAGATCAAGAGAAGATTAAAAAACTCGAGGATCTCAAAACTATTTTCAACACTATCAAACTCTTCGACTTAGCAAATAGGCCTAATGAACTGAGAGTCTATATAGGTATTCGGTCCCTTGCTGATCACGTTATAAATTGTTTGTCTCACACTATTTATATTCATTTTTCACTAATGTGTATCTTGATGCAGCGAATATGGCCAGCCTGAGCAATCGGGAATTAAGGAAACTTTGGAAATTGCAAGAGGCCTCTAAAGAGGTTGGAGCTACTGTGGTCGGTGAGAAGGCGAGAGATGCTGGCATCTCGCTCTCGAAGGGTGTAGTCGGCGAGACCTCCCATAAGCGCCGTCGAGAGACCGAGGAGCCTGTTACCCTCGTGAACTTGGAAACCGAGATTGGTGGAGATGAGGCCGAGAAGGAACTAGAGGTTCAATCGGCGGAACAAACCATTAGCATGTGCATAGGCGAGAATTGGGAGCCCTTGGATCATGGGAATGAGCAGGGGAGAGTCCCGTCTTTTTGGGACGAGAAATTCAACCATTCCTCCCATATCCGTGAGACCGACCTGCTGGAAGGGGACAAGGGTGATTTGGAAAAGATAAGCGCCTTTTCTATCGCCAAAGGTGTGGAGTCTTTAACGAATCACCTCTCAGCCTTGTCCCTCATTAACGAGGACAAAATTCGTGGTATGGCAAGGGAGATTAAGTTGCAGGGGAAGAAAATCAGCACCCTGGAGGAAAGTGTCAACAAAGGTAAGGCCGATTTGAGGTGGGTCGTCAACGAACGGGACAAGCTGCTAGATGGGCGACGCACTTTCGAGGAAGATCGGACTGCATGGATAGCCGAGAAGGCGGCCATGGAGAAAGATCTTGAGGAGGCTCATCTTGCGCGAGACAAACATGCCGACGCTGCCCAAGTCTTTAAGAGTGATGTGGCAACTATGAGAGCGGAGGTGGAAAGCTTGCAATCTGATCTTCAGGCTGTCAAGATGGACTCGCTTAAGAAATTCACACAAGGCTTCGATGCTGCCGCTGCTCAAGTGAAGTTTTTGTATGCCGACCTCGACCTTGAAGGCATAGGTTATTTCAAAGAAGTCATTGACGGGCAACTCGTTGATCCCCCCGAGGACGATTGAGCAGCTTACCTTGTAATTTCCTTGCTTTTTGTATAAGTTTGAATGTTTCATGTTCTAGGCCCAACTTTGTCGGTTTAAGGTGTGTTACTGACTGACTTTTGGTGTTTCATGACTTTTGGTGTTTCAAAAATTTGATGTTTCCTTTGCCAAGTTCTGCTTGTGCGCTTTGTTTCCTTGTTTCTGTTTCTAAGTCCTGCTTGTGCGCTTTTATTGCCTTGTTGATCAAATTTTTTCTAAGTTACGTTGAACGTTTTTAGGAACCAAGTCGCACGAAACTTGACTACAATACTGTGGAGATTTTTGTCTAGGTTAAACGTTGATTTTCGCCAAAACACATCGGCCAAACTTCGATCGCGATAAAATGTTTTTCTAAAATTGATGTTTGATGTAAGTAGTTGCCCAATTTCCGATTCAAATGATGACACAAATTTGTCTAAGTTAAAAATTGAACCTTGATGTAATTGGTCGTCCAAAATCTGACTTGAATAATGACACAAATTTGTCTAAGTTAAAAAATTGAATCTTGATGTAACTGGGCATCCAAAATCCGACTTGAACAACGACAAATTTGTCTAAGTTAAAAATTGAATCTCGATGTAATTGGTCATTCATATGCCGATTTGAATAATGACACAAATTTGTCTAAGTTAAAAAATTGAATCTTGATGTAATTGGTCACTCAAAATCTGACTTGAACAATGACAAATTTGTCTAAGTAAAAAATTGAACCTTGATGTACTTGGTCGTCCAAAATCTGACTTGAATAATGACACAAATTTGTCTAAGTTAAAAAATTGAATCTTGATGTAACTGGTCATCCAAAATCTGACCTGAACAACGACAAATTTGTCTAAGTTAAAAATTGAATCTTGATGTAATTGGTCATTCAAAATCCGACTTGAATAACGACAAATTTGTCTAAGTTAAAAAATTGAATCTTGCTGTAATTGGTCATTCAAAATCCGACTTGAACAACGACAAGTTTGTCTAAGTAAAAAATTGAATCTCGATGTAATTGGTTGTCCAAAATCCGACTTGAACAACGACAAATTTGTCTAAGTTAAAAAATTGAATCTTGATGTAATTGGTCATTCAAAATCTGACTTGAACAACGACAAGTTTGTCTAAGTAAAAAATTGAACCTTGATGTACCTTGTTGTCCAAAATCCGACTTGAACAACGACAAATTTGTCTAAGTTAAAAAAATTGAATCTTGATGTAACTGGTCGTCCTGATGCCGACCTTAATAATGACAAAAATTTGTCTAAGTGGGAATATAAGACCTCGACCATATAATCATGTTTGAACATGTTTGACGTTGACAACGAAATTTTGAGGACGAATCGGCTAAGCGTAGTCGTCGGTTGTTTTTCCCGATTTTTTGATGCAGCTTGCGAAATTTGTCTTCGAGTTATTTATACTCGCCCAGTCATATTTTTATCGATCAATCACGCGTTTTGTCTTCGAGTTATTTATACTCGCCCAGTCATATTTTTATCGATCAATCACGCGTTTTGTCTTCGAGTTATTTATACTCGCCCAGTCGGATTTTTACCGATCAATCACGAGTTTTGTCTTCGAGTTATTTATACTCGCCCAGTCGGATTTTTACCAATCAATCACGAGTTTTGTCTTCGAGTTATTTATACTCGCCTAGTCGGATTTTTACCGATCAATCATGAGTTTTGTCTTCGAGTTATTTATACTCGCCTAGTCGGATTTTTACCGATCAATCATGAGTTTTGTCTTCGAGTTATTTATACTCGCCTAGTCGGATTTTTACCGATCAATCACGAGTTTTGTCTTCGAGTTATTTATACTCGCCCAGTCAGATTTTTACCGATCAATCACGAGGTTTGTTCTTTAAAATAACACACGTTAGGAGTCATGAAAGAAAACAATGAGATGACATTTCTTAAAATTGAAAGGGTGGTGGCTCGTTAAAAACCTTCTCAGCAAAAACCCCTCATATTTTTACGGGGACAAAATACTGAGTTAGGAAAAGAGTGCACCTAATACAAATGGATACAGAGACTAGCTATAGTAAAAGCGCAAATTTGCAGCGTTCCACGTCCTTGGTATCATCCCTCCATCCAAGGTCCTCAGTCGGTAAGCTCCTTTGCTGACCACTTCATCAATTTTGTAAGGGCCGACCCACTTAGGTGATAACTTGTTCCTCATTTGAGTTAGCTGAGCACGCTTCAAAACAAGGTCTCCCACAATGAAGTCTCTCGGAACGACCTTTGTGTTGTACTTGAAAGCTGCTCTTCTGTGGGCTACCACTTGGTTTATCCTTGCTCTTTCTCTTGTTTTGGCGATCAAGTCCAAGTCAACTCGCCTTCCCTGGTCGGATTCCTCTTCAGAAAAAGTTGTGGTACGTACTGAGGGTTTCGTGATTTCAATCGGGATCATAGCGTCTGTTCCGTACACTGAGTTGAATGGAGTGTCTCGAGTTGATGAATGCACTGTTGTGTGATATGACCATAGTACCCGGGGAAGCTCCTCCACCCATGAAGCACCTGAGTCTTGGACACGCCTCTTTAGCCCTGCGAGAATTATCTTGTTGGCCGACTCTGCCTGGCCGTTGGATTGGGGATGTTCAACGGAAGTGAACGTCATTCGGATGTCGATCCCTTGACAGAATTCGCGGACTCTCGCACTCATAAATTGTGTCCCGTTATCTGATACGAGCACCTGGGGAACTCCGTATCTGCATACTACATTCTTCCAATAAGAACGTCTTTACCTTCTTCGCTGAAATGGTTGCCACAGGCTCCGCTTCAATCCATTTGCTAAAATAGTCCACAACCACTATCAAGAATTTTAGTTGCCTTACGGCTATCAGAAACGGACCGAGAATGTCAATACCCCACTTGTTGAATGGCCAAGGAGACAAAATCGAGTGGAGTCGCTCGGCTAGGGAGTGGTGCAAAGTTGCATGCCTTTGACATCCATCACATTTTTGAACCCAATTGACACAGTCATTTCTCAGACTCGGCCAAAAGTAGCCTGCTATCGCCACTTTGTACACCAGAGCTCGTCCTCTGATATGACTCCCACACATTCCGCTATGTACCTCGTCCATCACTCTTTGCGCTTGTGACGTGGTCAAACACCTTAGAAGGGGAAAGCTGAAACCTCTTCGATATAATCTTTCATTGATGACCACGAATCTGGATGACTCCCTCTATATCAATGAGGCCTCCTTCTTGTCCTTTGGCAATTCCCCTCGAGTCAAGTATGCAATGTACGGTCCCATCCATGAGTAGAGTTTGTCTTGGACGAAAAGAACACTCCCTTGTGGCTCGTTAATACTTGGCTGCGCTAAGGTCTCTTGGATGACCGACCGAGTGGCTCCCGGCTTCTTTGTGCTGGCAAGCTTGGAGAGCAGATCGGCCATCGAATTTTGCTCTCGCGGTATGTGGTTAAGCGTGAACTCTCAGAAATTCTCTGATAGGAGCTTAACTTTTTCCAAGTACTTAGCCAATTGAGGGTCCTTTGCTTGGAAAGTGCCTGCTACCTGCCCCGTGATCAATTGAGAGTCGTTTCGTGCCGACAAACTCGCCGCCCTCATTTCCTTTGCCAATGCCATGCCAGCCAACAATGCCTCGTACTCGGCCTGGTTATTGCTTGCTCGAAATTTGAAGCGCAATGATTGTTCCAACAAAATTCCTCTCGGTCCTTCCAAGACGATTCCTGCTCCACTTCCTCCAAGGTTTGATGCTCCATCCATTGACAAGATCCACTGCGTCTCTCCGACCTCACCCTCATCGGCGGGCGCGGTCAGCTCCATCACGAAGTCGGCTATTGCTTGAGCTTTGATTACTCCTCTTGGCTCATATTTGATGGAATGCTTCGATAGCTCTATAGACCACTTCATCATCCTTCCTGCCAGGTCGGGCTTCTGTAATACTTGTATAATCGGATGGTCAGTACGGACTATCACTTCATAACTCTGGAAATAGTGTCTTAACTTCCGCGCTGTAACTAGTATTGCAAGAGCCAATTTTTCAATCTTCTGATACCTTGCTTCTATGCCTTGTAGGACCCGACTCACGAAATATACCGGAACTTGAGTGCCTTCCTGCTCTTGGACCAGCACTGCACTGACTGCTCGGTCAGATGCCGATATGTAAATCAATAGGGGAAGATTCAGCCGCGGTTTTTTCAGGATCGGCGGCGATGCTAGCGATCTCTTGAGTTCTGTGAAGGCTTCCTCGCACTCTTTTGTCCATGCGAATCGATCGTTCTTCCTTAGGCATTGGAAAAGCGGTAACGCCTTGTCGGTTGACTTGGACAGGAAACGAGATAATGAAGCCATCCTTCCCGTGAGCTGCTCAACCTCCTTCACCGTGGAAGGACTCCTCATGTTGATGATCGCCGAGCACTTCTCAGGATTTGCCTCGATGCCGTGATGAGTTAGCAAGAAACCGAGGAATTTTCCCGCTTGGACTCCAAAAGAACATTTCTCAGGGTTCAACTTGAGCTGATATTTTCCTATGGTTTAAATAGTTCCTGCAAGTCGTCTAAATGTCGATCCAAACTCATTGACTTCACCACCATGTCGTCTACGTAAGCCTCCACATTCCTACCCAGCTGGTCCACCAACACCTTGTCCATTAAACGCTGATACGTCGCACCTGCATTCTTCAAACCAAAAGGCATTACCTTGTAGCAATAGTTGGCCTGGTCGGCGATGAACGCGGTTTTATCCTCATCGGCTGGGTGCACTCGGATCTGATTATAACCGGAATACGCATCCATGAAACTTAGCAGTTCATACCCCAACGCACCATCAATGAGGCAGTCTATATTCGGCAGGGGGTACAAATCCTTCGGGCATGCCTTATTTAGATCAGTGAAATCTGTGCACATTCTCCACTTTCCACTGCTTTTACGTACCATCACGACATTTGCAAGCCAGATCGGGTATTGTATTTCTCGTATGAATCCCGTTGTCAGTAACTTGTCGGTCTCTTCAGCAATGGCTTTACGCTTGTTCTCGCCAAACTTCCTTCTCTTCTGGATAACTGGCTTCGCACGTGGATCAATGGCTAGCTTGTGGCACATGAAGTCGGGGTCTACTCTTGGCATATCTTTGACGTGCCACGCGAATGCCGACATGTTTGCTTTCAATACTTCAACCAATTTCTTTGCGTCCTCCTGGCTCAGGGACGTACCAACCTTCACTTTCTTTCCTTCCGCCAACGTCACTTCCTTAATGTCCTCAGTAGGGGCTAGTTGGCGATCAAAATGGCTCACTCTAGGGTCTAAACCGATGGAGTGGACCTCCTGCTCGACCTGCGCGGTATACAGTTTCCTTTGTGCCTTTAAACTATCACCGTAGCATTTCCGAGCAACCTCCTGGTCCACTTTGAGAGTTCCCACAGCACCGCTCAGCAACGGGTACTTTACCTTCAAATGGGAAGTAGACACTATCGCTCCTAGCTTGTTCAGGGTCGGCCTGCCGATCAGTATGCTGTAGGATGATTGAGCATTGACCACCAAATACCGAGCGACCACCGTCTTCATCTGAGCACCCTGGCCGAAGGTCATCTCCAGATTGACATATCCCCTTGCTATGACCTGGTCTCCTACAAAACCCACTAGAGTCCCTGCATAAGGAATTAGTCGGTCGTTAGGTATTTTCATCCCCTCGAAAGATTCCCAGAATAAAATGTCTGCGAAACTTCCCTGGTCGATCAACACACGCTTCACATTGTACCCCATGACAATCGTCGATATGACGACGGGGTCGTCCTCATGAGGAGCTACTCCTTCGTAATCCGAGTCTGAGAACGAAATCTCAGGTTGAGGTGGTCGCCTGAATTCTGATACTGTTAGCACCGATTGAGAGTACCTCTTTCGGGCAGCAGAGGTAGCTCCCCCGCCGGCGAAGCCCCCTGCTATGGTATTGAAATCCCTGTGGATGGGCTGCTGATGGGTTTCTAACACCTTTTCTGGCGTGTCTCTGGGAGGAGTTCTCTCTCTACGCCTATCCCTCCTGGTGTCATCCTGCGTGCGCCTAGATCATTTATCCGACGAACTTCCTTCTTGCTTTCTCTCCACAAACTCCTTCAGTCGTCCCTCCTTAATCAAGAGCTCAATTTGCCTCCCTAAGACGAAGTAATTTTCAGTAGAGTGCCCATGACCCTATGGAACTCACACCAATCGGTTTTGAAGGGCCCCAACTGACGCTCCGTCACCGCCGGAAACTCGAACAACGATGCATTGTTGACATCGTGGAGTATCTATCGCCTGGGAACATTGAGTGGAGTAAACTTCTCTTCTTCATTGTTGCGCGTCCACTCACCCCTTGACCGACCACCGTGATCGGCCTGCCTGTAATTGCCCTACTTCACGTTGTATCGATCACGTCGTTTACTCTAGTCTAATCGCGGTCTAAGATGCTTATTTCCCTCCTTATTGCTGCCCCCCATCTCTCAGCTTTCCGCTGCGCTTTTGCTAATCTTTCCTTCCTCCGTCTTAATGTGACTCAGTGCAAAGGCTCTCACCTCCGACATGGTCTGGCAATTTGCTCTTTCCAACGCGATGTTGAAAGCTCCAGACCTCAGGCCCTTCTGGAACGCAATGACCTCCATCCTCTCGTCCAAGGATGCTATTCTTAAGGCGACCTCATTGAACCTTTGAAGAAAATCCTTCAATGATTCTTCCCGTTGCTGCTTAAGGTCAAATAAATCTGATGTGATTGGTGGCTTCTTGTTGTTAGCAGCGAATTGTGCCATAAACAGCCGACTGAAGACATCGAAGTCGGTGATGGATCGGTTAGGGAGGCCACTAAACCAATCAAGCGCCGCCTTCTTGAGTGTTCCCATGAACAGCTTGCAGCGGACTTCCATGCTCCCCTCGCAAATCAACATCTAAGCTCGAAAATCCGTTAGATGTTGACTGGGATCCTACGTTCCGTCAAAAGGTTCGACCTGTGGTATCCAATGATCCCTAGGGATGGCCTCGGCTTCTATGGCTTCCGAGAAAGGCCGAAAATCCCTAGGGACTTCCAACATGACGTCCTCCTCCGCCGTCCTGGTGCTGGCTTCTATTCTGGCCTGCAACTCATCCGCTCGCCTCCTGATCTCCTCGTTCTCGCGCTGAATGGCCTCCTCTCTCTCCCTGGAGCGTGCATTATCCTCTCGTAGGCCATTGATCATGGCCATCATCTCCTCCATGGTAGGGGGTTGTAAGTTGTTGTTGTTGTTGTTGCCGCCTCTTGCCATGGTAGAGTGTTAGTCCTTCTGTGTTACTTGGGGCGTAGGAAAGGTTTCACCGTAGCCCCACGGTGGGCCCAAAATGTTCCGGCCAAGGGGTGCACTAGGGTTTTTTCCTAGGTCAAGCCTCAAAGCCAGAACATTCAAAAGTGTAATCTGCCTTCTCAACTCTAGGGTTTTTGGCTTTATAGTTTCTTGGTTACGGGCCTCCTGGGCCCCGAGAATGTAGGGATTTCTTCAACTGTCTAATCTAGAGAATATTTTGTCATTAAAGATGAGATTTTGTCCCTGATATCAGATCAATATCTATGTGAGAGGGTCAGATCGGATTTTGGCCGAGTTACCCATGTGGAGCAGATAGGTCGGACTCTGACCGAGCGCACCCATGTAGAGGGGTCAGATCGGATTTTGGCCGAGTTACCCCTGTGGAGCAGACAGGTCAGACTCTGACCGAGTGCACCCATGTAGAGGGGTCAGATCAGATTCTGACCAGGAACGAGCCAATTCGAGTAAGGATCGATTAGCCCATAATGAGGTCGACTAAGGTCATACTCAGCCTTTCTCAGGTAAAAGTCGGGTCGGATTCCGACCCGGACAGTCCAATATTATAAAAATATTAAAATAAAAAGAGAAATAATAAATAATACAATTGAAAAACTAATTTATACTATAAATTCAAAAAACTAAAACCAAAGAAAAACTAAAACATATTGACAAAATATTAATATTAAACTATTTAATTATAGTAGATGCTACAGTAAGATAAAACATTAAAAAATATAAAATATAGAAAATTTTATAAAAATAAATTACTAAAACTATTAAATTAAGATAAAAACGAAAACAAGTAACAACATTGAAAGAAAAAAGTTGGACTGTTCTGGTACTCCTCACTTATAATGGTTAACAACAATGAAAAAAAAAACAACGTTGGACTGTTCTGGTACTCTTCACTTATAATGGGTACCATAAAATTTTCCGTGATAGAATCTGCAATTTTCTTCTTATCATAAGAAATAAATTACACCTTTTCAAAACATTTTTACATAACGTCCATGAAAATAATTTTATAAGAGGCTATGTAAAACATGATAGCGATAGAAAAATATTGCACAAACAAATTTATGTTAGTTTACTCTTTAACAAGAGTTATGAAACACCATATATATATATAAATACATATATATATATATATATATATTGTTATAATTATATATATTTATGATATAAGTGACTAGGAATATTATTTTGTGTTGTTTAAACTATTTTTCTAGTTGTGGAGCATAGGTTAATGTTGAAATGACCTCATGTAAAAGTTAGTATAACGACCCGCTATGACTGTTACACTTCATGTAATCACCAACGTAGTAGCAGAACTATTCATATACTTAAGATTTTACATTTACTCTACATGGATATGAATATTATAACATATATATAAGTATAAGTGCAACTAAGAACAATTCTATAAATATATCATCTAATATAAAGAAACATAGAATCCTAAGTGTTGATCAAGCACTATTATATAGACCATCAAAAGTAGTCTAAGACAAGACTGCACTACTAAAATGGTTCGACAGCATCTCCATGACGCTTGCTCGAGCTAACCCTGCCCTACTCTCATGAAAATCATGATCATCGCAGTCCAAATCACATGAAAAATACACAAGGGTAAGTTATAATCAAAAAATATACTAGTATAGGAAAGAACACCTATACTACTCACCAACATTTAAACCAATCAAAACACCTCATGGTTTACAACATTCACCAAACAACACAACACCCCTATGCTTTAAAAGCTATACACAACACATATCAACAATAATATATTCATCCAATGCATATGAACACCAATCAACAACACATCATATGCATACACCTCATCAACTAATGTGTCGTCATGCATTTACCTATAGAGATCTCCTAATACACTTGAGTAGTCTAAGTGGCTTGACCTTATCGAACCAATCTAGTCGTTTTCACGCCAAAATGCACACTAGTACAAAAATGGTAATTTACGTCAATTATTTTAAGCTTTTTACGACAGAAAAGGGTCTGACGTTAATGCGGGAGATGTAAATTTACATCGGACATTCCCTATAGCCGACATAAAAAAAGTTGTAAAACAAAAAAAAAACTAAAAATATTTATGTCAGACTATACCATATCCAACGTAAATTTATGTCGGACATGGTATAGTCTGACGTAAATGTATGTGGGTTTTTTCTTAAATTTGTATTATTTTTTGATACATCCAAAACCTGCATACAGTCCACAATATAAAACCTAACCCAGGAAGTCCAGAATACAAATTCAAATATAATTTATATTTGAAAATTGAATGAGTATATAAATCTTAAAAAGCATAAATTAAGACAATGTAAATCTTATTATCCTAAAAAAGCTATAGAACATATGTTTGTCAATGCTATCAAACTAGAAACATAATATCCAACTAACTAAACTTATAAATCTAACTATTATATACTTTGAAGAAAAAAAGTTGCACATTGTTCTCTTATCTTGATGATTCCATCTTCAGGCAATGGAGATGGATCTTGAAAGATTTGAAACATTAATTTAAGTGTCATTAATATGCAATGTTAATTATCATAAAGGTAAATATACTTAAATAAATTTTGATATGAATTACTTGCCCCAAGAATCAGTAATACCCGCAGAAACTATGACTTTCATCCAATACAAGATGTAATAGCCACATTCAAATGAGTCTTGTTGTTTATTACACTAAAATGAGAAACAAATAACTATTATTTCCAAATTGATAAATTCAAATATTATTGCCTCTACTAAATAATTTGCTAACCATAGGGTATATGAAGTGAAATGTCTTTGATCTGGCTTTTCCACTTAAAATATTAGTTCTAGACACGATTCTAATTAATTGAAATAAAAATAGATGTTAGTCAATATATATAGTTACAATTTTAAAACATAATGAAAAATTTTATTTACCCTTGTAATTGGCATTTCATTTCATGGCTTGGTTTTTGATGTAGTGAACAAAACCACACCACGATGTATTCCTTGGGAATGATTATCATTAACTGCCAATGGGACCTACATTGTATGAAAAACAAATTAGTTATAAAATTACCATGATTAAAAAACCAATTAAAAAATTAACCCTTCAATGTATAAAGCCATGTATATATGTCTTCCTAATTCACTCATCCATGTTTGCATATATTTCTAGATTTGGACCTAAGTGTTTCCTGATTTTTGGATGGATTGAGACTCAATAAATCCATATACTTGTGCTTGTGCTTGCTCCACACTCAATTTTCCCATGTACCTAACACAATTAATTATTATAAGTTAAATGTAATTATTGTAATTTTAGACTCATAAAAGAAAATATCACTTACATGGCCCACAAATGTATGATAGATATATTTAACATGGAGTTTCCCTCAACAATCTCTAATGTGTCGGGTAGGGATATGTATAGTGGAACATTAGAGCTATCAACTCCAAAAACTATAATGTCCCATTGCAATTAAATTGGTTTCTTTTTCAATCGTGGTAATATGGTTAGAAGCCTAGATATGGGATCATCCTCAACTTCTGCGATATCAGCATCATCAATAACAGGTTCTCTCATGACCTCCTTACCACGATTGATCTTAAGAAAGAATCAAAATTAGTTAAACAATAATAGAATTATAAGAATATAAAAGAGAAATAATAGAATTACCCTTGTCCGTGCTGAAAGTGGCATCACTAAACGTTTTGGCCAAGCTAAGAATGTGTCGGTTGCCTGCCCCACTAGTTGAACCTCTGTATTGGGCAAAGGAACTGGAACAGTAGCATCTTGAACTTGGTCAACCACAACCCGTATCCATGGATGGTTGAGCCACCCTCAAATACTCGACCAATTGTAATACCCTAGTTTTCATACTTTTTATGGAGGTTAATTTAGTAATTTTTATCAAATTTATTTAGGTTTTTTTAGTAGCCTAGAACAGGTCATTCCCAAATTGGAATGGGCAGTTCCAAGCTATTAAAAAGTTTGATTTTTAGTAGCCTAGAACGAGTTATTCCCAAACTAGAATGGGTCGTTCTGGACTACCAGAATGACCTTTAACCCTAAATGGGAATGGGCCATTCCAAAGATGGGAACGGGCCGTTCCAGAGATGAGAACGGGCCGTTCCAACTATGGTCGTTATGGGTTAAACGTAAACCCAAAACGGGGTCGTTCTAGATGTGAAATTTCACACATGACGAAGAGTCTAGAACGGGCCATTCTGGATTTGGAATGGGCCATTCTGGTGACTCCTGATGCCTATAAAAAGAGCGCTCTGGCACTCCCAAAAGCACACTTTTCATTTCTGACTTCTTTTCTTCTACATTCTCTGAAGACCAAGGAGAACCAAGAGAAGGAGGTCAACCAGATTTTGCTTTAGCTTCGTCTTCGGCTTATCTAGGTAATGGGGAGTGAGAAACCTCACTCAGGGGTGTGGGAATAATTGTTGGGTACTAGGATTGACCCCCAATCCCTTGCCTGATGCTTGCTTCTAGGAACAGGCAAAATATGAATATTTTCTGTTTTGCTTTTCGATTGCTCTATTATACTCCTTATTGAATAAGATGTATGAATATGTGATTAAATTTGAAAACAGATAAATTTTGATATGAATTAGAGTGCTTTGTGGGTTCTTTTGGGAAACCCTATGAAGTAAAATTAGGAATATGGTCTATGGATGATTTGAGGCATTATATGTAAAGTTGATGATGGCTTCATGTTTTGGATAAGTTCTTGGTATGATTTATGTGCTATTTTGATGTATATGATAACGATAAGTTTCTCGTATGAAACTATGTGAATATGATGTTAGAATATGAAAGGTGAACATATGATCTGTGATATGACATTGTGAAATAATGTGACATGAGATATGATGAGATGTTAAATGCAATGAAATTGTGAATATGTAACATGCATCATTTGCATTTATGAGCTAACCAGGTGTACCTTGGGTCACCACGTGATGTAACAAGCTAATTAGGTGTACGTTTGGTCACAACGTGATGTAACAAGTTAGTTAGGTGTACCTTTTGGTCACCGATGTAACAAGCTAATCAGGTATACCTTTTGGTCACCAAGTGATGTAACAAGCTAACCAAGTGTACCTTGTGTCACCAAGTGATGTAACAAGCTAACAAGGTGTACGTTGGGTCACTAGTGATGAAATGATGAGAAATGTGATTATGAGACACGTGACTGGAGCCACATGCATTTATGAGTCGAATCCATGAGATCATTGCATGATGAATGACTGTGCATGTGTTACTTTTGTATGTATAATTTGAGTTTGTACCTCAATAATGTGTGGCTATGACTGTGCTTGTATGATTTGCGTGTGTGTTGCCTAGCTATTATTTCTACACTTAGAATCGAGTGAGATGTTTCTCACTTCCTTGTTGCCCTGTGTATGTGTTTAAAATTGTGTTGCAGGTGATCATCAACATGAAGATGTTGGTGATGAGGCTTAGATTTCAGTTGGGCTTGCTCTGATAGGATATGTGACATCGGGGCATAGCTAGACATAAGTAGGACTTCGTTATTGTATTTTGTTTTAGAAGAACTCATGTTTCATTTTTTCGCATTTGATCATGTTTTAAGTTTATGAATGTGAATTCTCTACTATCATTTTATTGGAATTTTGTTTAACCCAATAAGATATTTCTTTTAATTATTATATATTTATATTAGGGTAGAAGGTGTCACATTTAGTGGTATCAGAGCAGGTCGATCCAATCGGTCATGAGTTATGTACTTATTATGATTTTGTTGTGTACTCTGACAATGTTTTGTTTGTTGTGTACGTTGATGATGTTTTTCTTTGATAATGATGATGATGATGTTCTCCTTGTGTTCATATTGTTGAGTTTTATATTGTTAGATTATATTGTAATTAGAGGAATGATAGATAGTTTTAGCTAATATCATTATGACTGCTCTTCTTCATTCTTATGAGTGCTTAATTGTTTGATATTTGCAAAAGAGATAGGGAGAGAGAAAGAAAGATAATTGAAAGAAACTTGCAAGAGAAACATGTGTAAAATCTAGAAAATGAGGATTATGTCTACAACTCAAGCTACTAACACTTATTTATAGACATTGAGGTTATTGGGCCTAAATCTAATTAATTACAAGCCCAAACCACTAATTACATGTTTAAACTTCTAAGTTTTACTCTTAATGAGAATTCCCACTCAGGTGTAGAGGCAAAAGCTTGAAATGCATTCTTGGGCCTTAAACTGTCAAAATTAGCTTTGGCTTGTGAGTGACACTTTTGTAGATCTCTATCTTAGCCTTCCAAGGACAGCAAGAACATCAAATTTCAAATTCAGAGGCTCAAGATATGATCTGTGAAAGACAATTTGTCAAGGTGGGGAAATTACAAAAATTAACTAGAAATTAGAATTTAAAACCTTCAAGGTCACTAAAGTGAATCACAACCAAACTACCAATTTAAGACACTCATAAAGGCCAAATGAGAACAACATAATGCAAAAAATGATGTACAAATATGCCCCATCAATGTGTTTTATAGGAGATATGTTTTAAATATTATTAGAATTTACATACCTGGATTTTTGTGCATATATGATATGGTATTATTCAAACTTCCGAGCCAAATTTTCTTAGAAAATGTTATATGAACTGATCTCAACAATGGCGTGTTGAGATTACCACTTGAAAATGTTTCCATACTTGGAATATTTATTGCCCTCACTATTTGTAAGTTAGGCCAATTCAAAGTTTCATTTTGTTGACAAAAGTTGACTAACTTTGGAAGATCTTTGAGTACAAGACATTCCATCAAAGGGAAAATGATAGACACATTTTCATGATTTTCATTGGTAATTACCTCTTTAATTTTCTCACAACTGTGCAATTTGAGTAATTTGAGTTTTCCAAGATTTTTGACAGAAGAAAGTGAGAATAAACTTTTGAGAATACCACAATGGACAATGTAAAGAGATACCAAATTGGAGAAAAATGGAACTTGAGGTTCCTTGTTCCATAAACATTTCAATCTGCTTAAGTTACTCAATGTTAATGCCTTGAGTTGAGGAAACACTTTTTGGATATTATAATTTGGTTTGTCATCTTCAGGGTTAAATACCTCAATCAGTAACTCACATTTGTCTAAAGTCAGTTTTTTCAGATTGATTAATTGCCTGATCATGCTAGAAGAAATGGAACTCAACACTTTGTTGTTGCTCAATGTCAAATTTTCCAATTCACAAAATGATTTGGAAGGGCAATTGTAGTGGAAGAGCTTCTTAACATCCTTATTTATTATATAAAGTTCCCTTAATTTATCCAATGACAGCTGCAAGAAACAAATAATAATTTCAATGCTTAAGAAGAAATATAAATACAATACTTAAAAATATGGATTGCGTGTATAATAAAACTAACAAAAGTGGACAATACTAAACAATATCATGGCATGCAAATATATCAATCAACTTCATACTTCTAATCCATCATTTGTACAAATAATAAATAAAAATTATATAAATAATATATATATATATATATAGACAAGTGTGTGTTAGGGAGATTTATCAAGTGACAAAGTCATTTTTATAAGTGAATGAGAAAGTATACTTAAGTTATATAATCATGTGTGAAAGATCAAGAAGGCCACTTAAAAATATCACCTGACTTTTAAAAAACTCATATGAATTATTTGGTTATTTAAATCTTGATTATTCATAATAAGATTTAATGATTAATGTTCATTTTTTTATGTAAAAAGTTATTTTCACTAGATACCTATATATTTATCGTATACACACATGCTTATAATAAGTATATAAAAAAAATATAAACCGAAACTTACAAAATTTGGAAAGAAATAGTTTGAAGCACTAGATTCTTGAAGATCTTTCAGCTCATTGGACACTTCAACAAAAGTCATTAGAATGGGGCAATTTTTTATTTTCAATATTTCTAAGGATGGAAATTCAGATGCAAAAGGAAAGACAATCAACAAATTTATTAGGTTTTCAAGGAAAACAAACTTCAATTGAGAAAATGTAGTTTTTCCTTCTTCTTTAACGAACATAAGGATTTTTTCCAAGGCCCCACAGTTAGAAATTTCCATATGTCTTAGCATTAGAGACATTGGTAACCAATCAATGGAATCACATTGGCTCACTCGTAGGATTTGCATCTTTTGACAGAACCTAACAACTTTCTTGTTGATGATGTCAGTTAATTTGGGTAGATTAGTCAAAATCAATTCATCAAGATGCTACAAAAGCTCTGTATTGGAATAAGATATTTCTCCACAAATGTTGAATACCATTTTCAATGAATTACAATGACTAACAATGAGTTTCTTCAAATTCCCCAACTCTTGTAATGTCCTAGAAGAGACAACACAAATCAACTTGCCACAACTATCTATCTTGACTTCATTCAACTCGGAGAAAGACTCCCCTTCAATTGTGAATGATTCATCTATTGTTGCAAAACCAGATGTGAATTCTTCCAACATAGGACATTTTTCTATCATCAAAGTTTTCAACCTTGGGAATTCTACATGGTGATAAAACCTGATCAAGCTTGAGAGGGACTTGAACTCCACCTTGCTCAATGTTGGGAACTTAATTGTTTTAGTGCTACCATTATCAACAACGGTCTCTAACATTTCACACCCCTCTAACTTTAATTCATTTAATTGGGAAAGTTTCTCAGCTGCAGAAGGAGTGAATAGGTATTTCAGAGAGGAGCAACTTTTGATGTGTATAATTTGAAGATTTTCAAGGACAAAAATTCCTGTTGGATCTTTGTTCCATATGAGTGCTAGCTGATGTAGTTCTATTAATACCAATGTCTTTATTTGTGTGAAATATTTACCAAATCCATCCTCTTCGGGCATAAGTTCCTCGAGGTCAAACAAATGTTCCAATGTTTTGCATTTCTCAATGATGATAACTTGAAGCTTTTTTGATCTCTTAATCAAAAGAGATAGAAATTTATTTATCCTTTCATCGCAACTTTTTGCTGAGAATGATATCCAAGTTGGTGAAATGTGAAGGTTGAATATTATCTATTACCTTGCTTAATTCCTCAGAATCACCAATATTGTACTCGATAATTGTTGAGAATAAATCTTGTAAGATTCTGCACGCTCTTGTTATAATCTTCACTCAACTTTTATATTTTTTTTAATTCATATATAGTTTCACCAAAATATAGATATTAATAATATTTATTATTTTGACTTAATTACACCCTTTTTTTTCCTTTTACTCTAAAATATTTGTGATTATAATCATTTAAGTTTTCTTTAAGTTATGTCTCTAATTTTGAAATCAAGTAAATTCAATCTTTATGTCAATTTTCATATATTTTTTATAAATACTTAAAATTTTATTAGATTTAGGATATAAAATAATGTTAAAAGTTTAGAAAGAAAACATTAGTGTAAAATGAACTAATTTCGAAGGATTTTGTAGATTGTAAAAACATATTCCAAGAAGAATCACTTCCAACTAATTTTTTTTTTAGTTTGGGTTAAATTTGATGTTCTAAGGGTGGTAAATTTTAAGTAAAAGGATTTCAATATTTTGAAAGAAAAGCGGAATTTGAGTATTTTAATTAAGTAGAAGAAAATTAATCAAAATCAAATTTTCTTAATGTTAAATACAAAGGAGCATATTTAATTCACTAAAAAAGTTATTTAATCAAAATTATACATAATTCAGACTAAAAGCAACGAAATTTATAATTAAGTGTGAATTCTTTTTTGTGTACTTATAACTAAATTTGTATTTTTCATTACTTAACAAATAGTGTTTTAGGAGAGGAAAACTAACCAAGAATTCAAAAATATGGGCAATCTTTGTATCAATGTCGTCTTCAACTTGAACTTGAGCGTCTAAGATGAGTGACTTTAACTGTGAGTGTTTTATTGTTCCCATACCAAACTTCTTTAAGATGGGGCAATGGTTCACAATCACATGCTCCAAAGATGGCAATTCCACAGTGTCACCAGAAGATATACTCCTTAAGTTTGGCAAGTCCTCAAAATGCAGGTTATTTATTTCAGAAAATTTGATAGGAATTGTGGCTTCTTTCACTTCTTTAAGTGGCGACAATCGCACCCTGGACAATTTCTAATAAGTTTTAGGACTAAGATATATTTTTTTATTTATGTTTTATTTTCATTTAATTAAATAATTTTTTAATTAAATATTAATAATAAAGAATTTTCATCATCTAATGATAACTATTCCAATCACTATTTTGGAGTGTAATTTATAAACATATATTATATAAATTTAATAAATTAATTTTTAATATATTTAATATTTCTAATGAGACATTAATTTGTTTTGTTAGTAATTTCTTTAATTTTTAAATTTGAGAAAAAATTCATCATCACTACTATAAAATTAAGACAATAACTTTTTTTTTTCTTTCAAAATCTTATTTATTAAAATTCAAATAATTTTCTTACAGTGGCTTCATATTTTAAAATATTTTATAATATGGTAGGAATATAATAAAATAAATTAATTTAATATTTATACAAAATAATTAAAACTATATACTTTTTTAGAGGAATCAAATTAACAAGATGTTCTTACGATTTTATTTCAATTATTTTTATTAATATTTTGGTATATAAATTATACTATTTTTATAGAAATTAATCCTTATATTCATTTTGGTACGATTTTTTAATTAAAATTAAAAAAATGTAAAATATAATTTAAATAATAATAATAAAATTACAAATTAATATGTTGGGCCGACATGGAAGAAGCATACCTTTGTTGGAAGTTGCGAATTGAAGATCTCCAGGAGTTTTCGTAATGAGGATGCCCTTTTTGAATAGAAGCCAACCATCCAAGACTAGTCAAATTTATTTGTGAATACAGGGATGCTAAAATGAATATTAACTTATGTTCTTATTATAAGACACTTATAATTAAATTATGAATGTTAATATAGGCAGTTATTATTTTAGTTGGTTTTATAAAAATATATGATGATGTATTTTCTTCATTTACAACAATTATAATTTTAACATTTAAAAATATTTTAAAATGAGTAGTTCTCACTTTTTAATGTAATATTAATATATATTTTTTAATTTGTTTCCTCATATATTATTCAACAATTACAACTAAAAAAATTTAGAGAATAGACTATTCTAGTTTAAAAAAAATCAAAAAGTGATACCTTTATTATAGATATGATAATGCGGATTGAACTTAGTAGGTCGACCTATTTATTTTTGTGGGTTAGGTTGAGAAAATAAATTCACCAACTCACCCAATTCATCAACTCAATGTGTCAACTCGCAAACCCACATTATTTTATTTTGTGTTTTTAAAAGATAAATTTGTAATGAATTTATGTTGGATTAGTATTTTTATTTTATAGCTTAAACTTCTCTTTCTAAGTAATTATTCTCATTTTATATTAAATAAAAATATATTATTTTAATCACACGTATTTTACTAGTACATTTTCATGTATAGTGTTTGATTTTAATAGAAATATATATTATTTTTACCTTTTGCATGAAAAATTATAATCCTTCTAATCAATTTCATAAATAATAATAAAATTATAGGTTGAACTCATAATGCATATTGAAAAAATTTAATTGAGACTTATTTTTAAATTGGGGTGTATTCAAGATGTATCAACCGATCAACTCATTAGTTCTAACTAACCAACTCACAAATATCGACTAACGTGCCTACTTATTGTTAAGTGGGTTGAATTATATTTTTTTAACTTGTTTTCTTTGATGGGCCAACCCACCTCACCCTATTTAGATGAATTGAACCTTTTTGTCACCTAGAGATGGCAAATGTACCCGTACCCGCGGGTAATACCCGAACCCGTCCCGACTTTGACGGGGAATACCCGGTTTGACCGAGTACGGGTACGGGTACGGGTAAAACCCGATATATTAAATCGGGTACGGGTACGGGTACGTGTATATACTTACCCGCCCCGTACGCGTACCCATACCCGTCCTCGTTCCAATTTTTAATTTAATACCCACTTTCAATTTAATTATATTAAAGAATTTTAATATTTTTTTATGTATGATTATTTATTACCCGATACCCGACGGGGACGGGGATGAGGATGAAAAGCACATACCAGACAGGTACGGGTACAGGAATGGAGATGAGTTTGGCTCGCAGGGACGGGGACAGGTATCATGAAACCCGTACCCGCCCCGCCCCATTGCCATCCCTATTATCACCCCTAATTTATTATTATCTTTAATATATGTGTAGAAACTTTAAACTATATATAGTCATGGTAAGATGGATGAATATTAATTTGATCCTTCTTACTTATTATTAATTATCACCAGAGACATGATTATATTATCCAATAATCTATATCAAAGTTAATTCATCATTATCAATAAAATTATTGATAATCGTAGAATTCAAAAGGTGAGACATAGCGAACATTTATTTTTTAATTTTTCTTCTTATTATTCAATAATAATAAACACATATACCCACAATCTTTAATAAAAAAAAATATGAAAAAAATTTATAGAAATTGTAAAATACCTTATAAAAAGAACTAAAAGAAAATTTTAAATTTTATATGATAATAAAGACTAGAAAAATATAATTAAAAATGAGAGAAAATCAAGCCAAAAAAAAAATAAAAAAAATAAAATACAAGAAAGAAAAGAAAAAAAGCATCACCGTTAAGGAATCAAATGTGTATATATTTGTGTTGAAAAATATTATTTCTCATATAAAAATCCTTTTTATAACTAATGCACTTTTATTCTAACTTTTGTTTTCCGTATTATCTTATTTGCTCAATATTGTGTGTCTTGGTACGTGTTTGTGGATGCTGAGATGGCACTAGGGTCGTGGTTAAGACAAAGCTAATGAGACTATTGCCTTAGGTCCTGCTCCAAGTTCTTTATATAATTTTAACACATAAATTATACAATTATATAAATAATTTCTATATATATAATTTTAATAAAATTATAAAGTAATATATTTTCATATTTTATTATAATTGATTTGTTAACACATAAATTATACAATTATATAAAATTTATACATACACACACATAATATCATCATAAAATTATTAATTTGAACAGTTTTATTATATTTTAAATTTTACTTAACATTTATTTTGAATTTCAATAAAAAAAATGGTATCAAAATGAATATAAAGATTAATTACTATAAAAATAATTTTATAAATTGATTCAAATTAATGTATAAAATTTGAAAATTATTTGATACCCCTTTTCATTAATTCAAATTGATGGATAATGATAAAATCATTTTATACATTGATTCAAATTAATGAAACGAATTATCAAATGATTTTCAAATTTTCTAAAAACTTGCCGATTTGATCTATGCATTAAGAACTTTAATTTGAACGGTTGAATCGTTAAAATTTGATATAGAATATAAGTTATTGAATGGAGTAAGTCTAGGTAGACTTACTCCCGGAATAAACGGATCCTTCCTCTTTCTCTATATATATATGTGTGTATGTACGTACTTTTAACATGTCAATTCATTTTATTATTAATAATTATAAAAATATTTTATTATGAATTAAATTTGTATAATGAAATATTAAATAATTTCAAATTTTTTTTAAAATTTGAAGACTTAATTTATACATTAAAATTTATTAATTTAATGATTAAATTGTTGAAATTAATGTAGAACATAAACTATTGAGTAGAATAAGTCTATAAAAACTTACTCTTGTGGATCCTTCCTATGTATAAAGATCCACTTATAATAAGAATAAGTTTTATTATAATTATTTTACTTAATAATTTATTTTTTATATCAAATTTTAACAATTCAATTATTGAATTTAATATTATAAATGAACAAAAGAGTTTGCAAAATTTTGTGAAATACAAAATTCATTTAATTCTTTGTAACATAAATTCAAATTAATAAATATCTATAAAATCATATTATACGATGTTTTGAACTGAAGTATTACATAGTTTTCAAATTTTATAAATAAAATTATACACTTAAACCTATATAATAAAAGTTTTTAATTTAACTATTGTATCTTTGAAATTTATTATGAATTAATTGTGACTTATTGAGTACATGAATATATATGTATATATGTATGTGTGGTTTTCTGAGTTAAACTGAAAAAATTATATATATATATATATATATATATATATATATAAAATATGTGTGTGTGGTTTTTTGAGTTAAACTGAAAAAATATTTATCAAAATTTACATGTAAGTTGGCTCATCTTTGAGCTGCAGAATGCATATTAATAGATTAATTTACTCAATAAATATTATAAAAGAACATAGTGGTTCAAGAATTCTGACCAAATATTTCAAGTTGGCTCATCTTGACGCTTCCCCTAGCTTCAGCAGTCGGAGGACTGGGAGGTCTAATATTAGTGACATGTTCCATTCTATAAGTGTTGAAGAATTCTGACCTTGTGTTAGATCTAACTTGATGGGTGTACCTTCAACATTTTGACGTCTTCGTCTTATTTCACTCGTAGGTATAATAGTGATATATGAATGTAACTACAACACAATCTATCAATGTCATTGCTATATATATGTCTGAATCTTCACTTCAAATCTAACAAACTTCTCTCTTCAAAGAAACTTGGACTTACTTTATTAGTCTTTTACCTTATGAGTATTTTTATTCCTCTTTCTCCTCAAATTTGTTGTTAGCTAGTATTTATTCAATAATTTTTTTATTGTGATTTTATAAAATATATAGAATTATTTTCTTTAATTTAGGTTCTCAATTTTTAATTATTATTATTATTATTATTCATTTTTCATATTTTATTAATATCTTTTTATAAACTAAAATTAGGTGGATGATAGCTAATAATGTTAAATACTTATAACACAGTTTTTTTGTATTACAAAAGAACTTATTAAATAAAATCTTAAATAAGTTATTTGTCTAAATCAATCCTTAATAAAGATCTGATTAACGATTAACATAAAAGTACTTACTAATTTATTAGTATTGTGTTTATTAAAATCATAATAAAATTATATTTAGAATCACAATAAAAATAAAATATTGGAAACACTGTATTTACTTTTATTTAATTCTTTAATTAATGTCCTTCAATTAATTACTAAAAATAGAAAATTCAATGCCCTTAGAATTGTACTTTTTCCATTTTTCATTAATTAGTAATAAAGTGACTTTTATCACAATAATCCTCATTTAAGTTCTAGGTTTAGGCTTGTATTACATTTTTAGTTTAGTTAAACTTTTTTTAGCTTGCAACTTTAAAGTTCAAATTGTTTTGATCCCTTTAGTTTTTTCTTTCACGAATTTCATCCCTACTACCTTCAAAATTCAAATCAATTTGACGTCTTTCTTGGTTGTTTTATAATGCCAAGAAATTATCTCAAGGTAAGCACATGATATCTTTCTTGATCGGGACTTGAATGCTTACTTAAAAAATTAAATGGATTAGGTTACTTGCTTCTTAACATAAACCTGGTATCAAAAACAAAACATAAGAAAAACCTTGGTGTAAAACAAGACATAAGAAAACCCCACTGTCAAAAAATTATATGAAAAATCTTGCTGTCAATAAAAAAGAAGAAAATCTCTACTTTTAAGATATGTAGTTCCAATTAATACGTACTCATTTTCATTAAAACCAAAACTTTTTTTAATTGCTATGGATTAAAAGAAAGGTTTAGTCTTGTTTTATATTTTGTTGCTTAATTACTATTTTTGTCATTGTTTCTTGGTTCAAGACTTATATTTGTGATTTTATTGAGTTTTATTGGGAATATATAAATGACAAAGAAATTCTTTTATTTTTATATATTAACAATGTTATGTTTTTTTTTATATTCTTTATTTTTTTTTCTCTCATTTAGCTTCTTAAACGCTTAGTTTGTGATTGGATTGATCTAACCGAACCCAAAAAATGCTACCAATGCCAAGCAGATTTAGAAGATAGGAGTCTGCAGATGGTAAATACATTTAAAACCATTTATGTTTAATTTGATTTATTTTAAAGAAGTTATTCATCGAGTTGTTAAATGCATGATTTGCTTACTTTGCAATTTGGAAAAGAATATGATAATACATGACACCCTTGCGTCAAAGACATGGATTTGCAAAGGTTGATTCCTTAAGTAATTTAATCTGCCTTTCTTTGTTGTTTTATAATATCAACAAATCATGTCGAGGCAAGCACATGATGTCTTTTTTGATCGGGACTTGGACGTGTTAAATAAAAAATTAAATGGATCCAATTACTTTAATTAAAAAATTTAATGGATCCGATTACTTACTTCTTATCTTAAAAAATAACTTGTGCTAAAAGAAAACATAAAATTCTCTGCTGTAAAAAAATAAGAAAAACTCTACTTTTAAGATATTGTAGTTCCAATTAATAAACCCACTTGATTGAAAGACTTTATTTAAAATAAATAAATAAATAAAAAATAATAATTTTGATAATTTTTTTTTGTATTTTGTTTTTTTCTAAAAAAGTTTTTATTATTGGTTCACGTGTAATATCATAATAACTCTTAATTTATTACATATTTGGCCGTTGGGGTTATGAAATGAAAGCTAATATATTTTTTTAGTTTTCTTATAAGTCTCAAATAGCCTAGCTCTAGCTCATCTTACCCATTCCCTGGTGTTGGACAGCTTCAACCCTAACATACGTGCAATTTTAATTTAGTGCATCTGTTAAGTTAAAAATTCACTATTAATTTTGTTAACTGTTTCTTGGTCCACCAATACTTGAATTTGGCTCTAGTTTTTCTGTAAGTTTTAATGGGAATATATAAAAGACAAGAAAAATTCCATTTCTTTTAATTTTTTTTTATTTCTACTCTCATTTGGCTTCTTAAACAAATAATAATATAATATGTCCAAAATGATTTATGTATCAAGCTGTATAGTTTCCAGGGTTAAGCTTGATTTGTTTTATCATCAACTTTCACAGATTGCCCCCCAAAATCCTACCAATGCTAAACTGATTTAGATGATTGTACGTAGTCGTGATATATCTATCGATGGCAAATAAAATACTTTTAAAACCATTTTATTCCTGAAATTCTTATATTAAATATCTAGTTGTTGGCTTTCAAGTCTAAATGTCTTATGGCGATGTTTCATCAGTATCCCATATACTCCAACGTACCCTGAGAACAAAATATCAAAGACTAGAGTTTTTATAGCAATATTATTAATTGAAGATAGATTTTGTTATATAAAAAAATATATATAGCGAATTTGGTCAATTCGAATCGACGGCTTGCTTGGTTTTATGGTCAAAATTGGAATAAAATAAATAAGAAATTTAATCAAATTATAAAAGTTAATCCGAATAAAGATTTATTCATTTTTTTAGGTAGTTTAAGAACCCATTGGTTCGAGAAATGATGTACGATAAACATTATAGTACTTTCCACATTACAATGCATAGTGACAGGTAGGAAAATGCATGGTTTTGTTGGTTTGTTACTTTGCAGTGTACCCGTCCGAGAATAGTTATTTGTTCTCAGCCGATGCCTTTAGCTTTTTTTTTTTTTTTTTTTTTTTTTTTTTTTTTTTTCTTTTCAAACCGATTGTCTGTAAGCGTCGAGGGGTGTGCCTTTGTAAAAGATACTTCAATGCTCAAATAACTTATTTTGTGTGATAAATATGAATTATGAATAGTAGTTTTACCTCAAGATATGAACTATTTATATTGATGTTAATGGACTCTCACCTTGATGGGTCATAAGTTAGGGTTACCAACTAGGTAATATGCCGATAATTGATTTTACACACACGATTAAACCCTAATAATCTTGGTTAAAATAACTGATTGCCTATGTCCATTAACCCTTCGACCTTATCAACTTCCGAAGGGTTGGTTCATTCTTAATCTTTTTGACTGTTGAGGGTGCTAAGAGGCACCTTGATCCTTTCGATGGCTGAAGGTTTTGAGAGGCGACATGATCTTTACGATTATCGAGGTGCTAAAGGATCCTAATCTAGTCGATTTCTGGTGGTTGAATGGTTTATTCGGTATTCATGCCTCCCAACCTTGGAGAGAGAAATCGAACCAATAACAAAATTGAGAAGCAGGGGATGTTAGGAGGCACATCATTAGTAACCATTGCACCAATTTACACTTATTGAGGTGGTTGAATTGAAGAGTTATGTATTATACACCGTTAGATACCATTGCATGCCGTAATGATGTGTCCCCTAATCTTGATTACGTCTTCTTAGGCAAGCTTGCACTGAACATGGATTCATTATATCTATATGATTGCCTGTTTTGAGATTTGAAAGTGAAGTTTTTGTTTGACGACTTCACCATGGAGTTCTTAGGACTCTAAACGTGGCGCCGAACTAGTTACTTCATAATAGTTGGGCACAAATGCAAGCATTCAACCATCTTTGTTGATGCTTGAACATATTACTATCGCCTTCATTATTCCTACATTTCATTTACACCCAATCAACCAACCTAGTTAAGTGGTTGTCGTTGATTAGGGTGTCGGAGTGGCAACTACTTGATAATTTTACTTCTTCATAAAAGAATTTTAAAGTCAAATTCTTTAGAATAACCATTAGGCCAATTGGAAGACGGTTGTTTTGTGACGAGAACAATAATGACTTGTTTCCATTTTATTGGACATGTGTCCATTGGCGCTATGACACCCTACCAAGGGAATATCTATCAGCCAAAGAGCAGGTTGACCTAAACTTGTTGTTGAAGCTTCTAGGCGCTTTACTGTGAGGTGGTTGATCAGCATGATCGAATCTCCTGAGTTAGAAAATGACTTGCTAGGTAAAATGTTGTTCTTGTTGTGGCATGAGGGTGAAAATCCTATTGATGCTAACTTGATTGTTTATGCAGGGATAATGGTGACTAGCAGAGAAACTAAGTTAAACATTCACAATTTTCTTACTGGGCAAACACAATAGGCTCAACAAGCTAGTATCGTCCAAGGGAGTGGATCGAGGGCCTTTGCGATCCTGAAGCCGATTACTAATCGGCACGTGCCTCCATAGCCTAACTAGAAGCACAGAGAGAAGAAACAACATAAGGAGTAGGAGTCCCACATGAGCGGCCACAAAAGAAAGGAGGACAAAGACCATTTTGAGAAGGCAAAGAGGATGAAGCAACAGACATTTCTAGACTCTTCTCGGGGTTCATTGGTGGTTCCCCCCATGTTGTCTCGATGATTCTTGAGCCACGAGATCGCTCCCGATAACATTGTTCGATCTAACATGGTGTCTTTGCAAGGTCTATACTACTTAGACTAATTGGATACCATGTCCAAATGGAAATATTTTTGGGAGATACAGGCTCGACCTCTCATACTCGCTCAAAACCTCAGAATGGAGCCAATCGATGAATTGGTGAATGTGAGGAATAAGTTGGAGTATGTTGAGAGGGCAACCGTCGAGGCCCTATCGACCAACGAAGGCCTTATAGTGAACAATAAGAAGTTTTTCGTTGAACTTGATAGACTTCAGCAGGAAAATAGCAC